ATATAGATTACAAATTTAATAGTTTCCCTAGTGTATCCTTTAGAAATCAACTGTATAAATAACTTAATCTTAAATTAGTTATAGAATTTGGAACTCGGTTAAAGAAGAACTTTTTCTCGAGAATTCATTGAAGATTTGCCAAGCCTTGAAGCTTGATATAATATAATTTTACTACTCTTGAGCGTCATGCGTGTACTCCTCATCAATAAAACGCAAAGCAACGCCAAAAATTAAACAAGAAATTTAAGATTAACAAATATTTTTAAATTTTTGAATGAATTTTATTAACCAATTTAAATTCTCAAATCACAATAATTCGAGTTGAAAAAAGTGAATAGTTGCATCAATACGTTAGAAGAAAAAATTAAGATGGTTCTCTATAATAATTTACCGATATAAAGATACGACTTTTAAGATAAAATATGATATGCATATAATGATCTTGGAATATGAAAAAATAAAATAAGAACAGCAAAGTATGCCACTTGAAAAAGAGTAGTTAAAGGAACAGACAAGTATTAACCATCTTAATTACATGACCCGCTAAGCTTTTGCTGAATTATGCATGTGCAAATGCACGTACACATACATACACATAAAATTCGAGGCGATATATATATATATATATATAGTCGTTACACTTGTATAACTTCACCAGCGGGTGATTTTGAAATAACTAAAAGAAGGGAGGAGGCGAATAAAAAAGCGTAATTATTGACAAATTTCCCATACAAATTAAATAACTTGCAAGATGAGGCAATAGTTTAGGTGTATATATATATATATATATATTTGTAGGCAATAATATATAATATGTTTTTGTCTTAACCTTCCATGGCTGTTTACCTTAAGAAAATGTAACTTAACAGTAGTTATTGTTCCTTAAAGCTGCCCGAGAAGAGTAATGCAACAGTAGATCAAAGTTCTCTTAAAGCTGCTTCAATGTCTTTCCTTAAGTAGCTGCAATTCAAACATGAGCAAGCCTGACACAATTTTTTTAACGAAGCTAACCAAAATAATATACATAATATACTGTAATATATATGTATAATCAAGCATACATACACACACACACATATATATATATGTATGTATGTATGTACCTACCAACCAAGGAACAAAACTGAAACTGAAAAGTTTCAATTTTGCACTGAAAGAAAGTAAGTATGTCAGTGAGTTTGCAATACAAACTTTTTCGTTAAACTGGTTTAAGAATTAATAATGTCAGATCTTTTCCTATATGTATATATAATCAAGCATGGATACAATATTATACATATACGTATATAGTGTATGTATACAGGGGTAAGGACCTCTTTTGAAAAAAAAATTCAAAGAAAATCCAATTGGTTTGAGAATTAAGAGTAGATGTTTTTTTTCCTACATTTGCAGACCAAAATGTACAAAAGATATGTTCTTTTAAAAGATTCGATTTGTCTGAAAATGTAAGAAAACCTTAATATGAACATATAGAACAAATTAAAAAGAAAAAGAAAGTTCAGAATAATTAAATCCACCTTTATAATTATAGCCTTATCTTAAGATATGAGGAAAAAAAAAAAGATTCAAAGACATGTTTGTGCCAAAATGATGCTCTGAACTAAAATTCTAAAGAACTAATATATATATATATATATAGGTGTATGAGAACTAATTATAGCCCTATCTCAAGATATGGGAACTAATATATATATATATATATGTATTTATGTATATGTATGTGTGCGTTGATAATAAATGCATTTAAATAAATGTTTCTAAGTTGGCTCAACACGCATTGAACATTCACAAGCCTGAAATTTCAGTGAAAATCAGAATATATATATATATATATATATATATATCTTGAGAGTAGATAACAGTTTTAGCTATATATATATATTTTTTTTAAATATGGTAGACGATAAAACTCAAACTTGAGATGTCTACTGAAGAATTAGAAGGCAATCCCAACTAAGCTTAAATGATTTTGATAGACTCTTATATATATATATATATAATTAGGAAGGTTATGTATGTATAACATTATACATATGTATACATGTGTGTGTTAGTTGATTTTTTTAATTAAAAATTTCCTATTTTAGGACTAATTAATTGCATGTGAATATATAATTATAATCAGATGAGCTCAAGTCAAGCTTCTACATTGTTAGAAAAGGAGTTTTTCAACACAAGACCACACATGCATACATTCTATAGATATTCTATAAATCAATTTATATACATATATATATATATATATATATAATTTTCAGAAGGTTGCTAATCAAAGATTATATATTTAAATAGTTAATGATTTAATAATCAAATCCTTCAAAAGGTGAACACCAAATCAAAGATACCCAAGAGGACAATAATCCAGCAATATCCAACTAATAAACAAAACTTTATATTATATATACTTATATATATATATATATGTAATTAATGTGTAAAAGTTAGTTCCCCACCCAAGTGGGATAACAAATAAACCTATAAGATTTAGGAAATTAATACCCATATTCCATTGATTATTGGTGGTCTCATTTTTCAATTTTTTTTTATATTATATATATATATACACACACACACACACACACACACTTACATATATAGATACATATATATATTATATATATAATGTTTGTGATATAATTAATTAGCTAGCTGGCATCAAATATTAGAAAAGATGAATCTAGGTTTTGTCTTTTTGTCTAATTATAGATCTATATACCAGTATCTTCGTACTAAGTAACCTACCAAATTTCACTATTTGTAGACTCGTGAGCCTTCCACCTCTTCAATGTTTTGTCTCTGCTTGACCAAATACAAATTTATTATATATATATATATATATATTCTCATGCATATTTTAATTTAGTTAAAATTCTATATATATATATATATAATATAATATAATTAGACTCTTAATAAACTCAGACAAACAATGACACAAATAACGTTTTAATAAAGACACACACACACACACATAACTCAAATTCATATTTTTATAAAGAAAATACTAATCACCAAATTAAAAAATAATTAGTATTAATTTCTTTAAAATTTTAAAATAATGATAATGGAGTCCTATAAAAAATGCTTAAACTTAATTTAGCTAATCAATGGATGAGGAGATTTTATGTATATACCGTTACTAATTTTGGGAATGGAAGACATATCCATACATATATATATATATATATGTATGTAGACACACACACACACATATATATATGTACAAATATATACTTCATGAATTCTGTTTATCTTCATTTCCTCTTATGAGCAGACAAAGTAATGTTTTTCCAAATTTATTTTACAGAATCTAAACTTATACATGTATTTCAAGCACATTAAGTCGATTACCAGTTTGTTGATTGGATGCTCTACACTATTATAACTATGGCCGTATCTGCTACTGGCTACATATATATGTATATATATATATATATGTGTGTGTGTGTGTGCATATATATACTGTTATTACTGGCTACTTCCCATAATTATACATTCTATTTCAAAAGTGAAGAAGACTAGCTCCCACAGACAAACAATAGCCGTACAAGCAAATTTTCAAGAACACTCATAAATTAAGCAAAAGTAAACAATTTTTTTTTTCTTTCCAAAAAAAAAACTTGCAATTCACCTCATCACTAACATAAATATGTTTATCTGATGAATAATGATGAAAAATGATCAATCCCTACGCGTTCATATGAATTAATGGCGTGTATGTCTATATATATATATATATATATATATAGAGAGAGAGAGAGAGAGAGAGAGAGAGAGAGAGAGAGGGAAAGCAAAAATGCAAACATATATATTCAAATATAGTGATCATGATCAATACTTACCTGGTTTATGCTGGTATTCTCTTCTGCTTCTTCTTGGATCAATCGGTTGCACCAGAATTGGGCATTATAGACGAATGTGGCTGCTGCTGCTGCTGCGGCGGCGGGGGTGGCGGTGGCTGAAGACTAGCCGACGATGGTGTCGTCACCTTCTGCTTAGGCCTTTTCCTCTTCTTCTCATAACTCACTCCTCTCGCTTTCGCCTGAAAATCTCTCACTTCTCTCAGATAAAGCCTCACTGCTCTTGCACCAAACGGGTTCCCTTCGGGCCTCCCTCCATGCTCCTCATACGCCGCTCTCAGCCGTCCGATCAGCGCGTCAAGACTCCCCCACGCCTGTCTCAGCGGACAAGGACAGGGAGCCGGCGGGTTAGGCAGGCCGAAGAAAGGGCAGGTCTGGTTATGGACTTTGGTCTTCCCAAACTGATCGAGGTAGCGGAGGAATTCCAGCACGTGGGCCCCGCTGCACATGGGAAGAGAGAGAGGTGGACGGTGGTTCCGGAGGTATTGGCAGAAGGTGTTCCAGTCCCGACGCTTCTGGTTCTCGTAGCGGCTTGGCGTGGTGGTGCTAGTGGTTGAAGATGGAGCGGATGGGGTGGAAGATGCAGTTGCACGAAGATGATGATGAGCTGAAGTGTTACTGGAAGTGATCGTGACGGTGGCGGGTATGGTGGA